CCCCCATGACCCTCCCTCGATTCGCCGTTGCTATTAATACCACTTGTATACAAGATGTATAAAAAATGCAGACTGTATTATAACCAGAAACCTTAAATTACCTACTTATCAAAACAGCATTAATCATTTAACAATGATTTCATTTACATTAACTGTTGCAATTTGCTGTTAAAAATGCAAATCAAACATAAGCACTTGCTTATAAACAAATATAAGCGCTAATTGCTTACACGTAATAATGAGCCTGCAATTAAGCTTATGTAAGTAACAGCCGCATTATCGGGCTTTCCTTTTGCTTATCTTCAGTTGATTGGATTAACGCCGCTAGAAAGGTATATAAGATTTTCGTACTATTACATAAGAGCACTTAATATGTACATTTCGATTCGAGTGAAATGAGCGCCAAAAATTCAAGTTCGGTTACAGTTTTGGGGAACGATGGCGCCGAATCCAATCACGTGCTTGAACCGGTGTGACATAACCTCATTATTACACTGTTATGGACATTGTCTTGTTTGTTATTGCTTGCGGTCAAACATTCCAAAGATAAATTAACATGTTAGAAATTCGATCTCTTTACTGATAAGTGCTGTTTGGCAATGACGATCTGTAAACAATTTCGAAGTTATTATCTGACGTCTCGCAGTGCGATAAAAATATATTTGCAACTAGTTTGGTCAGTTTTTCAAGACGTGTAGAGACTAGTCAAGGTATCTTGCACAAGTTTTTGTTTCCTTTTACTTCTAATCAATGCAATTACTTCTAATCACTGGTTTTCACTTGTCTAGATTTTCAGGTTTTGACATGTATTGATTATTAGTGCATGTCGAAGTGCGTTAATAGGTGCCCGTCCAATCGCATTAAAACATTAAATGTAGTAATAGTACCTAATTTGACTTTTTGCCAAAAAGAAGTAAAGCCGAAGGTGTTTAGGCTAATTGATTGTTTTTTATTTGACTAAGCAACTATTCGTTTTTCACGAACATTAACACTAGAAAGTGGAGAAAACATGATTGTAAATATTTCTATTGATCATCAAACTTAAACAAATACATAATGGTATTCGCAAGTACAAAAGTCCAGACGCCCCCTAATGGCTAAAATTAAAACTACAATTTATGTAGTAATTTGACATTTGTTTTGTTGACATTTGTGTCACATTGATCTTTACATCTGATTGTGATATGTTTTGTTCTAATCGACTTTGGCAAGCTTTTAAAGAAATGGAAACAGATCGAAAAGTGTGCTTGTATTGTTTTATGTTATAAATATCATCAACTCCATTAAATAAACAAGTCTGTCAAGTCTCAACTGTCACTCGACAACGAGTAATTTGACGTTTCCCAGCGCCACCATCGGTAGTTTCCACTCGCGAATTTCAGCCAGCGCATTGACGTCAGATCACGTGATTATTATGTTATAGTTACGTTAAATTGGTTTTTTTCGCGTGATTGTCACGTCATGGTTACGTCAAATGGACTTTTTTCACGTGATTATCACGTTCGGTGCTAGCTGGGTTAACATTGTTACTTAAAAATGGACCGTTTTTGAAATATTCACGTTCGTTTGGGATTTTTTTCAACTGCATGATACGTCCTTTTTTGCAGTTTGTCCAGTCGTTTAGATAAAGGACCCGCATTGATCATAATACACATTGAAATAGCTCAATTAAAGATTTGAGATGTTTCTTCAGGATTTCCAAAATATGCAATTTTTTCTGCAGTCTGATCTACAGGGTGTCCCGTAAGCACATGATACTGCGATATTCTTTGGATCAATAGACGACGATCTAACTTAACTTTTATTAACAAAAAACGTCTGGCTCCTCAGATATTAATAGTCAAAGTTAAAAAAAAAAATTGTGAAATATCGAGAGGTTGGTACTATGTATTTTGGTGAAACTCGCGGTGAATTTGTTCTTATGTAAGACTCATATTTTGACGACACAATCGAGCTGCTGAATTTTTGAGTGTCGTGGTACAAAAACTACCAGAACTTTTTATTTGGTGGATGGAATCGACTCATTTTTTTGGTTGATGCACTAATCATTTATTCACAATTTTGTGCTCTTTGTAAAATGGTGTAGTTTTTGCCAAAGTTTTTGCGCAAAAGTTAGGTCAAATCGTCTTCTTTTGATGCAAAGAATATCGCCATATGCTTTTGATCATGTGTTTACGGGACACCCTGTATATGAGTTTACTTAAATCTTTTATGTAATCTGTTATCAAGAAATCAATTTTTAAAAAATATTCTACGTGATGTTCACTATGGAGGATTTAATAAGTAAATGAAAAAGATGCCCAAGAAAGAGGCAAAATCCGTTGTTGAAGTTTTAAAATCAGTGTACGCGTAAAATACTCAAAAGGGTTGGCGCTTTAATCGATGCATATTTGAAACTTTAATATTCATTAATTAGATTTTCAATAAATACTCAAAAATCTTTGCTGGTTTAGGTTTTTTCACCGGACCACAAGTTTTGCTTGCATCTGCGCCAGGCGTCTTCATCGACGGATTAAGGTTTCTATTAGGAATTTTAATTAAAATTTCTAATAGAAATGTTACGGGTTGATTCATTTCGCCAGATTTTACTAGACATCGTTTTATATGTGCAGCATCAAATCGGGTACTTAGCAGGAGATAAATCTTGTGCATACAAGGTCGCCATTTCTATTCTTATGCGGTAATGAACTGTTTTTTTATATTAATCAAATGTTGCAAATTTCGCAACATCACAAATCTTAATTTAAGTAGGTACTTATAGATACCCTGAAAGGCTACATGTTTGTTGTTGTTGTTGAACCGAAGTCGCCTCGTCGCTTCGCAATTCCTAAGCATGTTTGGTGGAGTGAAAAATGTTCCTGTAGGTCCAAAGCGCTATAAATATTGATCTAAATTCCCGTTTTCAACTTTTGTTACGTACAAATCACCAATAAATAGCAATCCCTAAACCCTCACTTTATTTTGCCAATGTATTTTACATCAGCGCGGAACTAGTTGATGCGTATTTAATTTTTGTTGCTTATTTTTTTGCTTCCAGATGGACGAACCACTGCAAAATCCGCCTTCTCCCGAATCTCAAACGAAAACCGCCTGCTTTTACCTGCTAAGGTTTTTACGACATATCACTGTAGAACCCACCCTGGTTTTCTACATGATGGCCTTTATGCTCACCACTGTCATAGAACAGGCGTTTTTCGTCTACAAGGCCTGTTCAGTTAATCATGGCTACAATGATACCATATGTCGCAACATAAACAATAAGGAATATGAGAATATCACTAAAGAAGTCCAGGTATGTGTTGTATACATTGTAGGATATATTGGCGTCTTAAAAAAATATTTTGCTATATAGGCTGAGATTGTTATGAACTTTTCATTTATTGTTTAATGGGTTTAAAGCCGTTCAATCCCCATATTTAAATTAATATCCAAAGAAGGTCACTAGAAACGCAAAGCCTATTTTTATGTGCTTTAATTTGCCTAATAACATTGACTGTTTCATGTTCTCTTATCTTAATCCTACTTTGTGCTCATCCTAAAGCAAACAGACTGGATTTTTATTTATCGCCATTGTAATTTGCTTTATTAGATTTACTGCAGATTAAATGATATTTAATTCCACTACTGCTAAAATGGTGCATGCCTGTACGATTTTTATTTCTGTTTAGATAACCGTTTCCAACTTTCATCTTTGGAACGATATAGCTGGACATGCTGGTCAAATTATTTTAGCGTTCTTCATGGGCGCCTGGTCGGATAGAAGAGGAAGAAAAGTACCACTATTAATGGGATTAATTGGAAAGCTGTATTATTCCGTTATGATAGTAGTGAATTCTTTGCAAACCAATTGGCCCGTAGAATATATAGTTTATACAGCCACTTTACCGATGTCTTTTACCGGTAAATATCCTAATAATTTATGGTTTGTTATAATAAACAGCACGTAGATCTGCGTCGTTTTAGGGGCTGACGTGGCTATATTTGCATCAGCTTTCACTTACTTGGTAGATGTATGTAGCTTGGAAACGAGGACGATGAGAGTTACTTTACTGGAAGTCTCCTATTTGGCCACGATGCCAACTGGAATCGCCTTAGGAGCTTACATTTTTAGGTAAAAACAATGGAGTTGGCTCTCCACCTAGTTATATGTATAAAGATGTTCCTTCAATTAATTTTTATACATTTATTTCCAGAAAAGTTAATCAATCCTATTCAACAATGTTCATAATTAATGCTAGTCTTCTGGTGGTGGCAATCTTGTACTCTCTTATTAGATTGAAATGGCAATCATCGTCCAACCAGAGGCCCCTATCTGAAGCACACAATTTATTTTTGGACTTTTTCGACTTTAATCACGTAGTGGACACTACTAGCACCTTATGCAAGAAGTAAAAACTCAATCCTCTGTTCCATTCTACTCTAAAAAGATGTTATTCACAGACGGGCGCACAAAAAGAGAATCATCCTGATGCTCTTGATCCTGATGATGGCGCTCTACGTTTTCCAAAGGGACGAACGCAATACTATGTATCTTTACTGCCAGTTGGTGTTCCACTGGACAGTGAGTCAATACAGCACATTCCGGACAGTCCAGAGCAGCCTTCAAGCTGTGGTTTTACTGGTGGTCGTTCCTCTGATGAATAAATTGTTTGGGTGGCGCGACACTGTGATAATGATGACCGGAGCTCTTGCCCATACACTAGCAAGGGTGTTTTATTCTTCTGCTACAGCGGCTTGGGTATTTTATTTTGGTAAGTCCAAACCGTTTATTCTAACAGAATTGATAGTTCGATAGTTGGATGAAATTAATTTGTGGACAAATTGGCGAATGCCTATGCCCATTATTCTTTAGCAGAAAATGCGTTCGTTATTCGAAAAATTTGATATGATTTTGCGTTTTAGGTGGTTTTTTTGCCGCATTTGGACCTATCGTTGCTCCTATCATTCGTTCGATGGTTTCCAAAATTGTTTTGCCATCGGAAAAAGGTAAGAAAGCTCTCGATTTTTATTTCGCCCCTGAGGGTTGCGTGCGATCATTAAAACAAAGTACGTTTCTTCTTTGGATTCCGATAATTCTCAACAAACATCAGATTGTTCTTGTGTTTAGGAAAGGCATTTTCCATGTTGGGAGTGGCTGATAACGCAATTCCGCTGGTTTCGGGTGTTTTATACAGCAAACTCTACAATATGACTATTCACACTCATCCAGAAGCTATCTATTATTTGACAATGGCTTCTCAAGGTGGAGTGTTTTTGCTGGTTTTGTAAGTATGATTTGAAAAACACTTTGAATAGCTTTAGTTACCATTTGCAAAGTAGTAGATAAATTGAAAATTATTTTGGTTTCCAGATATATTCACTTCGTATACAAGGAAGAGAGATTAGAACCGGAGTCGGCATATGAGGAATCTTCATAGCAACACTGATTGGATATTTAAAATGAGGTAACATATGCGAATGTTATATAGTTTGTTTTATTGTATTCAGGGTTTGATTAGTATTTTTACGCTAACAAATGTTTAGATTTATAGGACTTTTTAAAGCTATTTACAAGTATAACAGACAATAATTAAAGTATGCTATAATCTTTTACGGGATTGTATTACTACTACTGCACAATGAAAGTTGCAACTTTATGAATGGCTGTATTGCTAATTTATATCACAGTATTGAACATTTAACGAGTAAGGAAATATGCTCAGCATTTCCTGAATGAACATTTGAATCAAATCGAGCCGAAATTGGTTAAAGGCTTATGCATTTGTTGACTTCCGAAATTACTTTCCTTGCTTCAGTCGCCGCAAGGTATTTGTTCGTAATTGAGACACATACCTAGATTTTCTTCAGGGGAAGCTTCTGCTGCGCTTTCCGCAAAATGCACCCCAATATTGAAGGGAGTCACGCTACTTTCTATGCGACAGGGTGAGTTTCCCGAAGGGCATAAACTGAGGCCGCAGTGTTCTAAGCTGCAACTTCCAGGCATCATATTCATTAAACCTGGCTGAAATTATTAGACAACTAATTAGGAAAACTTTGCTTGGAAAAACAAGGGCGGTTATCAAAACCCACATTAATTTAGAATGTTCGGAATTCCATAAATAATGTTTGGTATGAAAAATGCACAGATTAAGATATAAAAGACTATAGTTTTATATAGAAATATTAACAGCTTACCAGTATTAACTCCTCAGAGTCACAGGGCAAGACTATTTTATCATTGCACATTTTCAGGGCTCTGGAAATAGTCTCGACTTCTTCGTCCCCTGACCCTTCATCCATATTAGTTGGAACTGCGCCAGAGTCTGCCCGTCACAGATTTTTTCTTAGGAAATTACCAACGACATTAATAATTTTATATTTACCTAGTGAGTTTGGGGCAATCCGAAAAGCATTCTCATGGCACGGTTCATATGCAATGCTGCACATTCCCTCCTCTTGACGAATGCAGATGTTATAATCTTGATTTGCCAGATGTCTTCCATTGTCCGCAAAGTTCATCGTCTGGATAGTTCCATCTGGGCCTGAAAAATTGTGGTTTTTACGACGATAAATTTTAAACTTTTCCTCCTGACCTGTAAAGTATTGGAGGCAACCTGGAGGCGCTTGTTCTGTGAAAGCCATTTGAGTTATGATTATTTCCCAGAACCGCGACACCGCTTTCTTGTCCAGGGTCATTTCAATTTTGATTTCATCCAGACTGTTTACATCAAAATAAACTGCAAATCAAACACGGTTATTAAAATGTTATTTGAAAAGGTGCTGCAAATTCTACCATGTTGTCCGCTGTTTAAGCCGCAGAGCGTGAATTCCTCGCTGGAATTACCTGCGATGATTTGAAAAACGTCCTCTTCGCATACGCCTGTTTGTCTATTGGGTTGCCCCTTAAACCCCCCAAGAAAATTAGAATAAAACAGCAATTTTCTTCGCAAACCTACCAGGTTAAAGTGAACAAAATCCAGCCGGATTTGCGAAATTTCCGGCTCGATTTTCTTAACATTCAGTGTGCAAGAAGACATTCCTTTGGTGAGGTCAGGAAAGTCCGGGTTTACAAAATACGTCAGGTTGTTTATCACCTCTTGATCACACGTTGCAGTAACTGAAAACGTATCTAGTGAGTCAGTAAATTCAAAGTTTGCCCAACAAACGTGAACAATTAATATTTTATGTGTTAGTTGGCACTCACATACGCAACAGACCCCAAATCCCAGAGCGCAAAACCCATATGATTTCCCTTCTTGGATGCGACATTCGTAGGTGTTCATGCAGATGCCTAAAATCAGAAAGCAGCCCTAATTAAATCTGAAATTGTTAGTACGTTCTTGAAGGGTTTTATTAAGCTTTGCTTAACTCACCTCTTCTACGGCCGTCATTGGCCTTGCATTCTTCTACGAAAGGCACCGGAAAAAAGTTTAAAACTGGAATTAGAACCGCGTTGCATTAATTTTTAGCGTCTGATCAATTATGTAGGCATTTAGAACTCCTAAGAATTAATCATTCTTAATGGCTCACCTCGCGGAAGCCTGCTTATATCACTATTTTTAACCATCGAACTGAAATTCATCTCATTCCCTTTCCCTAGACCATTTTTTTCGGCACGATCGCCCCAAATATCAAAATCCTCAGCTGAAGAAATCCCCGGTTCGCAGATCAGGTGCATTAGAAGAACGTAGTTCAAGTTCACCACTCTCACTTTCATTTCAACTCTGCGCGACTAATCGACAAACGTGTAATTAATTTATGTTGTAAAAACTTTGGGTTTAGCACCGATTCTTCCGTTTCGCTTCTGAAGAAAAGTAAACAGTATCAACTGGAATAATTGAGTTTGTTAACCGGTCATCTTCGCAAAAGAAATTTGATCGGGAATCTGGGTTAACGGGCTGAGGTCAAGACCAGCAACTGGTTTGATTCGGGTTGAGACAATTTTTAATTGAATCTCTGGCTTTAAAGCAACGAAGAAAATAAAAGTTTAATAAAATAATATATTATGTACAATCTTTGTCCGCCTAATGGAAACAGACGCATAGGAACCGTTAATGTTTCAGCATATTTTTCTATTTATCACCTAGAAGCTATAACTGAAATCAGTTGTTGGTCCGTTGAAAGCCACTCTGGAGACAAATTGAGGCGCCGCAGCAACAGTTTGAGGATATTGCTGACGGGCAAGTAGATTTGGTTGCTGGTATTGAGCAGCGTATGGACCAGTAGCAAAGTAGCCATTGCTAGTGGGAGCTGAAGACACAAGTTGCTGTTGCTGCTGCGGCTGGCCCAAATACTGCTGAGGAAGTGCATTTGCCAGCTGCTGTTGCTGCTGCTGAGGCAACACATATTGCCCTTGTGGAGAAAAGTATTGCTGCACAGGCTGCGCTGAAGAAGAAACGTATGATTGAGGAAGAGGAAATTGCTGCTGACTCTGAATGGCTGGCAACTGTCTTGGTTCGTATCCCAAGGCAGATTGTTGTTGAGCGAACTGCGGATACTGTTGCTGCTGGCTTTGGACTGTTGGAAACTGATGGGGCGCGTAGTTTTGAACAGGCTGCTGCTGTGCAGCAGCGTACCTCGATGCAGACTGTTGCTGATTCCCAGGTAAGTTCTGAGGCTGAACTTGAAGCTGAGGATTTGCTGGGAACTGCTGCACTGAAATGAACTGCGGCTGATTGGAGGGCGTTGCTGCAGCTTGAAGTTGCTGAGTCTGCCCTTGAGTTCCTACAATAATTTTGTTATTTATTAATTGACTTTAGTAAATTAGATAAGCTCACCAAAGCTGCGCAGCAAAGTCTGGTCCTCACTCGGCTGTGAGGGTGCGGCTTCCTCACTCTGCGGCAGCTGCTTAAGATTGGCCGGCTGCACCGGAGCGGCGGGCAATTGAATTTCATTCAGCGACGATCCATAAGTAACCAGGGGCGAGTTGAATGAAATGTGGGATACATCGGTGGCTGCTGAGTAACGCACTCCTAGAAGAGGGGCTGAGGGTTGAGGAGCAACTGGCTGCAGCTGCTGCTGTTGTTGTCCCACGGCAAGAGCAACTGTTGCCAGGACAGTCAGCAGTTGAAGCTATTTAGAAGAGAAGTATGGTATTTTTATTCAGGGTTTCATTTTAGACCAGTAATCCAGACTCGTAATCGGGGAGTTAAAGGTTAGTTTGCCGCCGTTTGCAGCGCTCCAGAAATGAATTTGTAAAGTTCTCTGATATCATTTTTTAGGCTCTAAAAAAGTACATATTTTGATTCAATGCCGATTATACTTTTCGAACTAAAGTCGTAAGAAACTGTGTATTTTTTCATAAGATTGGAAGTCTTCAAAAAGCAATCGAACTAATTCCAACACTAATGTTCAGTAACATTGAGGGGATTTAATGAAGAATATAACAAACGATAAGCGAAATAATCTAAAAAAATCTAATAGATTATAGACAACAAAAATGAATGAATGGGCAAAACACAAAAAATTTCTGGTTTACCCGAAATTTTTCAAAATTTAACAATAAATTTAACAACACAATAGATTTGCCTCAAAGATTAAAAACTGAGCATTTTCAATAGTTCAACCTCCATGTAACTTTGAACCATCGACATCACTTACACTTAAGTTAAATTCCATGTCTTCAATTGACCACACACCTTCTCACTAACAATAAAATAGCGATAATGAATGCCTTATTCTTTATATACTCGGCCATCAGCATAGGTAATGGGGGAACCATATAATAGAGCCAAAACGGAATCCTGCTGAAGAAATGTCCCAAGGTGGTACTTTCATTTTCACTGCTAATCTTCAGGGCTTTCCTACCAAATATTCTACAGCCATTTAGTGCCATCTTCGTTTTTGCGGGGCCGCTAGACGAAGAGCGGATTATAAAAAAATTGAAACTGCAGTCACGCAGGTGGATGTTAGCAACGCCTAGTTTGCCCAATACCTGATACAGTTACCAAAAACCGATAACTGCTCGGGTTATGCAATTATTTTTAATAGTGCGAAGACGTGATTTAATTATCAACACTATTGGACAATTAATGAATTAATTGGATTGATTGATTTTTGGTCGCTGATGTGAATAAATCGCAATTGTTATACAAATAATTGAGACGTTTGACAATTTTTTAAAATTTGTCTTGTTTGTTTTTAATTTAAAGCGATAAAAATAGGATAAAAACAGGGTTTTCTTATTCGCAAACTGTCAATTATAACAAATTCAGTGTGCAATTTTCCGCAAACCGGCTTCTTGGGGTCATTTTGAGCGAAAAATAACCCTGATAAACTATTGCCCAAATCGTCCTAGTTTTCGAGTTGCAAGCTTTCAAAGGTGCGTCCACGTTAATATCATTTTGTCCTCCAATTTGCTCGATAGTCGATAGGAACGACCGTGCGCGCTTTCCTCCGCCAATAATAGAGAAAATTCAGAAAATGAGTTCGTTATGTCTGAAAAATTGGCGATTTTCTGAAATATCAAGTGTTACCCTGCGTTACAATGAAATTGCTAATCTGAGTTTTTTGAGAAATTTATCGCTCTAGCAATGAACTATTTGTATACAAAAAGTGAAATCTTAATGGCAAAATACAGTAAATTGCTCCAATTGTTCTGAATGCTGAACATAATGCAAACAATACTTTCATAAAAAGCGCTTTTCTAAGTCTAATTTGAGCAAAAACTGTCTGCGCGAAACTTGTCACATTTGCCATTTTGTGGCTGTCAAATCAAGTCCATTGATTGACACATTTAAATGTCAATTCGTCAGAACAGACTAAGCTTTCACTTGATAAAATTCAGAGTTTTATTCATTTTTATTGAAAAAGAAAATGCTGGTTTGCTTTATGTTTTTGTGATCGGTAGTGCAAGTTTTGTAAAAAAAAACAATCTGTTTACTGTCAACATGGAAAAGTTATTAGTGCACCCGGCTAAAAATTCGCATTATTTGGAGTTTCAACTACAATTTAAGCGTTGCATCTTGTTTTTCCGGACTTTGCTGTTTTAATAACGGACTATTTGCATAGAAAAATGACCTTAAATGAATTAATGGTAAAAGATAGGAGCTTTAACCGCTTCAATTATTTCGAATGTTGTTGCAATCTAATGAACAATGTTATAGATAATTTTAGTATGTTCTTAAAATTAGATTAGTTCTAATATAATTGTGACAAATCAGTCTGTGCTTAGCAATCGACGGGGCTCGATTTGCTCGGTGAAAAATTCGATAATTTCACGATTTCACGAAATCGCTGCTTTCTAACAGATAAGGTTTTTTGGATTATTGGATTTTTCAATGTTGACAATAAAAAAAAATCGAAAACGATAATTATTTCAAATCAAATAGCGTTCATGAAATTAGTATACAATTTTTGTAAATTTAAAAATGCCAATAAGTTGTAGATTTCATCATTTTAAGACGATGTTTTAATCCATTTTCGTAATTATGTTTACTGAAATTTTGCGCCTTGACGCACTAATGAGCCACCGCAGCCACCTTGTAGGAATGTCACAATAAATCTCTGGAAATTGATTTTCTATCTGCATCGCAACCAAACAGAAGAGAGAGAGAGTTTCCATCAACTTAAGTAGAATTTCAGGTTAAGTATTCAAAAATGTAAATAATACTCTCGAAGATAAGAATTGAAATAAGTATGGATATCTTGAAAATTGTTTCAATTGTGGCCTTAATTCTTGGCGCCCTGTGTGAAATAAACAGCTCTCAAACCCTGACGCCGAAAAACAGAGGAAGCAAAAAGAAGCCAGACCAAAAACCGAAGAAAAAGCTGACCAAAGCGATGAAAGGGCCCCAAAAGTCGACAGTTTTTGATAAAGGTCTTGTGGTCGAAGACGCCAAAGCCAAAGACATTCTAGCTAATTATCAGGCGTTTTTCACTGAAACCGACGACTTCAATTTTAATGGCATGGTTCTGGGCTATGTAACGCCGGTGAGTATCGAAAAATGGTACTATTTTTGCGTCATTTGAATACGCATTTAAAACATTGCAGTGGAATAACCATGGGTATGATGTGGCCAAGATTTTCGGCAATAAGTTCACCCACATAAGTCCAGTCTGGCTGCAAATACGCAGAACAGGTCCAAGGAAATATGAAGTTACAGGAACACACGACATTGATAAGCAATGGGTTATTGATGTAAAAAACGCTGGCAGGGAACGAAAAACCAAAGGTAGTTAATTAGAACAAAGCATTTTAAAATGTAACGTAAAATGCAAGTAATTTTTTTACCATTCCTACTTGCGGAACGTTTAGTTTCCATCGTTTGCTGCGATAGTTTTTCATATAATTTCAATATCTTGAACTATGAAATTGCTATTTGTCCTTTTTAATTCTTTCAGTTGTTCCACGGGTTCTCTTTGAAGGCTGGACCGCTGCAGATTATCAAGCACTCTTCAGCGATCCTGAGGAAGCAGCAACATTGACTGAAACTTTAGTACAATCTTGCCAAAAAAACAAATTCGATGGTTTTGTTCTCGAAGTTTGGTCCCAAATTGCTGGAGCTGTAAATTCGGAAATCCTAGTTGAGCTCATTCGTTCAATAGGTAGGTAGATTTTGGGGTTTTCGAGTAAATTAACTGATTGCGAAACGAATTTTAGGCATTGGGTTTGCGCAGAATAAGTTAGACTTCATTCTCGTTATACCTCCAAGGAGAAGCCAGAGGAGTTTATTTTCTGAAAAGGAATTTGACGCTCTTTATGAGTTTGTCACCGCTTTCTCCTTGATGACTTACGATTTCTCGCATCCGGAAATGCCAGGTATTAACGTTAATAACCCATTGAGGGACATTTTACATAAAATTATTTTCTTTAGGACCAAATGCTCCCTTGGGATGGGTACAAGAGTGCGTTACTGCCCTAACTGCAAACGAAACTAGAAGAGCCAAAATTTTGATGGGTCTTAACTTCTACGGGAACGATTATCTAACTAAAGGGGGCGGCGGGCATATTCTGGGACATGAACTTGTCGACCGGTTAAAAAAGGTTCCTGATGCCACTCTTACATATGATGAAATCTATGGAGAGCATTATTTTGAGTATCGGTGAGTTTTCGGTGTTATACGCACGTTTCAACAGCCCTTTAAATACATTTTTTAGGGATGACAATGAAGTGACTCACATCGTGTACTACCCTACATTGTTTTCTATTTTTGCCAGACTGGATTTGGCTTTTAATCTGAAGGTGGGGCTTTCGATATGGGAAATAGGCCAGGGCCTGGATTATTTTTACGATTTGCTTTAACGTTTCCAAACTATTTATATCTGTGATCGCAATATTTAATTCATGAGTTGTTAATTGCGTTTTTTTATGTCAACCATTCCTTTCCTCTTAATGTTTTCCTGTTGAATTTAATCTCGTTTGTTAGTTCTGCGTTGGCAACTGATTTTTTTTGGATTAGCTTTTATTGAGATTCATCACTAATCTACGTATAAATGTGGCTTATTTGCAAAATTTAGCAATAATCTGGAATAAATATATTTCAATGCACTTAAGCAGCTTCCACTTCGTTGAATTTCCTCATTGTTTTCATGGCGTGTGGCGTTCGAAGCACTCTGAATTGTAACAACCAACCGAGTTTGTTTGGGAGATAGCTGAAAAATCAGTTCGTTAACATTGCATATTTTTCCTCAACTAGAAGGCAGGTTTTACTGTTTCAGCGGCAATAAATAATTAAAACGCGACGGAATCGTGCAGAATTCTTCATTTTGCCGAATGGCAAGAATGACCCTTTTTGCCACCCCTTTAGGCTCCAGCATGGGGATACTTGGTTTGCAGCCATCAAACATTCCAGTGTTGATAAAATAGGGGCACACCATGGTAAGGCCGATTTTATCGTAGCCCAAACTCTAAAAAAAGTGCAGATTTGTAACAGTTTTTCTGATATAAATGCTCCCCACGCTACCTTCAGTTCAGTGGACAAACTTTCGTGGAATCCAATAGTGGCATATTTCGAACCACTGTAATCTGTACAGTTGTAAGCCCCTAGAAGTCCTGTAAGGCTGCCTACTGTAGCGATGTGCCCTCTTCCATGCTTAATCATGTCAGGCAAAAATGCTTTTGCAGTCTAAAACGCATTGAAAGTATTTTTTTATTTGGGTTTTCGTTGTATTAGCTGGTTTTGCAAAAAGTTACAGATTTACAGGTTTTCCATTCAAGAGTGCGCTTAAGCGATGAAGTAACTGACCCAATAGCAAGATAGTGTGTTGACTTTGTAAGTTTTCTCGATCATATAATCAGGCAATTCCAATAAAGTTTGACCGCAAACGATTCCTGCATTGTTAATTAGGATATCGACTGGACCAACTTCTTCCTTAACAGTTTCAGCATTTTTATAGATGCTCTGCTTATCGGATACGTCCACTGCGTAGGTATATATTTTAAAACCTTCCGCTGCCACTCGGTCCTTCAAGGTAGACATTGCTGAAATATTTAACGGGTAAAACCTCATTTTCTCAATAAAACTAAGTTTACTCACCTTTTTCATTTACATCCCATACAACCACTTTTGCTTTCTGACGAGCTAATCGAATAACAAGTTCTTGTCCTACGCCGCCCGCACCACCAGTTACCAAAACAGTTCTTCCTCCTAACGACTTGAGAGTCCTAAAAAAGAAAGTGTTTACATTTAACTTAACAATTTTGTTGTTTTTTCACGTACCTGAGGCTTGCTGGGGTCAAATTGGACACGGCAGCTTCGATTGTGTAGTAAACAGAAAGCCATCCTACAATTACCAAGTTAAGTATGATGGCTGTTGCACGTAGAACCGCTTGATGGATCGCTTTGTATAAAGTCCCCATTATCCTTAAATCAAACATTTTAAAATATTGCTGATAAGACACTGTCGAAACCAGGTAAAAAACGAAAAATCAAATACAAGGAAAAAGTCTTAGAAAATTGCCGCCTATTAACTCTGAATATATACTGGCAACAAACAGTGGCGCATTTTGCGAAAACAATAAACATAACTATATACATTACAGGTATTAATTTTCCGGTGTCTGCTTTCGTTTGAAAGAGAAACATATTAACCGCAATAAGTAGACTGTGATACGGTTTTCAGTGCACAATCTTACTCTGAACGAGCAACTTATGGAAAAAAATACACCAAAACTGCACTGTCCGGTGCAACGTTGAAAAGTATGTCGTTCTTCGAACTGCAGCTTTATAATCAACGAACTTTCATATAAGTTAAATTAAGTTGAAGCATTATTTTGCAAGTTATGTTTAATCTTCTTGAGTGGCACTCAAAAGCTATCATATTTAGTAAAAGTCTAATAAAACTTACATATTTCAATAGTTACTTACTAATTTTATCCAATATTTTTGGGCGCGGTAAGAGAAAGTAAAATGGCATCACAATATTTTACTTTGCATTTACATTTTCGCCTTCTAAATGGCACTAATTTAAAAAGCTATTTTCCGATTAGCATAAGTACGAGTTAAAAACCAGCCAAGCGCTTTCAGTAATTTCGCCATTGTTGGGATAAAGTGAAAAAAATTTAAAAATCATAATGATTTTGCATTCACTTCGATATTCCAAGTGTAAAATGTTTGCCTAATCTTTGCACGCTTAATGCCTTTTCTGGGTTCTTAAAGGCAGTTTTGTTGATGCATTTTTAGTAGATTGATACTTTTTACATACTGGGAGAGTAAATAAATACAGTAAAATTGTGTGCTTCCTAAAAAAGTCATATTTTCAAACGGAAGGAAATTTTCGACTGAAAACATTTTGTTACTAAATAAAGATGCATCTTTGACAAACTAAAATTTGCCTGCAAACAAACTGATCAAAGCAAATAAAAAACTCTGAGAGTGCACAACGAAAGTAAAAACAATCAGAAAATAAAATAACATTTTAACCACTTCAGAGGCCAGTGGAATGAAAAGAACATATTTGTACGATAAAGTAAAAGTAAAATGTGATTTTTCAAGTGTCTGTTCATTAATTAATTACGTTCGTTGCCATTTGAGGTGCAGTTAAACTAAATTCAATTAAGTGAAATGAAGTTAACAAGAAATTACTGCTAGCGACTTGAGCAATAAATTATTTTAGGTAAATTTAATTAAAAATTAACTGCTAAGACCAAGAAAATTTACTAGAGCTACAGGGGTACTTACTTTTGAACTTTTTGCTTCGGAGTATACACTTTCCCGTCTAGTTTCTTCCCATTGGCACTCAAAGTTTCCACGGCAATTTTCTTACGAAAGTAATTCATTTTGGAGGAAAAACTCAATTTGAAAATCTGATTTAATTTGGTGTTGTAGACGCGGTCCTTTACCTCTGAAAGTACCACTGATTCTGGTTGTTCGGATGTTGAACGCACTCGATTTGGTGAATGTTCTTTCGTTCATCTCGCCGGAACCATTTCTCCGATGGTACCAGTTCAGCGCAAGGCAGATTAGCGTGTTTTATTGCGTTTTTTTGTAGATCTTCGTCTTCACACACGTACATTTTTTGGATTGAAGCGCAGCGATTTAATACATAAACAGTTTTGTTTGCAGAGTTTGAACAGAAGATTTTGAGATTTTTGGTGTTTTGTGAACATTTGAAGGCAACTCGTCTGACCAAACGGTAGTTTGATTTTTAAGTTTCCGTTCTAAAACTCTCCTTTATCAGCCTTCATCAGTTTTGTCGGTTCAGATGGAAAATTGTTCAAGTCAATACAGTGAGATGGTCATTGGATTAGCATGAGCTTAACCTTCTGGTTTTCCGTATAAAGACAATTTGAAAAGTACGATTTCCGTTTGTGCTCCGTGAATGAACTGAGAATAAAGGAATAGATAAAAATTATGATAAAATGTAGAAGACTAGATAGAAACGAAACCTAAAAGTGTTTCTACTTGTTTATAGTTTATATATAACTCTATGAACAGTGTGTTTTCGGTTTGTAATTGACAAAATGGTGCTAAGCAAAAAGTAACAAGATATATTTTCTTCCGTTAAACATTCATTAAGTATATTAAGTTTTCTATTAAAATATCTGATAAAAACAATATAAAGCATAGTAACATAAATTAACGCTTCTACGCTGAATCTGCCTGGAATTAGTGGCAATCAGGAAATGCACGGTTTCGCTTGGGAATAGAATGAACATACAAACAACACAAATTTATTCTAGCAGACAAGGAACACCACTTTGCCTAACACATAAGTAAATATTCGTAGAACAAAAAAAGCTGCCAAATTAATAAAACAATCCAAAATTGCTACAAATTGGTGGGAATAACTAAATAAAATAATGCAAATTTTGTCCTACATTTATTTAGTTAGTTGGTACCGTTCGTACATGTTTACTCTTCGCCCTGACCGTGACTTTGGTTACAAAAAAAACTTGCATCATAATACATATATACAAGTGGAAACACTGTGAAAACACTTTCTCTCAGTTGCCTGATGCGACTGAATCAACAATTTCTCCTAGTAATTTAGACAAGATGAAATTGTTTCAAATCAGTCGCAAATAGTCGAAGTCGAGAGTACAATTTGCAGATAGAAAATATCAGATGGCTGTTTGAATATCGGTTATTTCCCGGATTCTTAATAATAAACTTGATAATTCTGGGGTGAATCGCGGTTATCGAATAACTACACAAATGCAGCAAATCGGTTAACCATGCACTCAATAAAATGCATAAAAGCGCAAGTAATTTGACCTCTATAATTATTCGGGCATATCAACAGCTTAGAAGTTTATTAATATTGTAATGGAAAATTGAATAAAAAGCTTTTTTAAAAAGATTATTTATTGAACAAATTTGCACAATTAACTTTAGATTCTAGAAGCTTGATTGTATCGATGCACAAATAATTTAAATGTTTTTAAAACCGCTCAAACAAGATTATAGTCGATTTGGGCATACTATCGATTAAGTTTTGCTATCAAATTTCCAGTTGGTTGCCAAGTACTCAATATTGGCTTGGTCTAAGCGTCCGAAATGGAAATCTAGCAATTCCCCATTATATTATTAATTCAGGCATTTAAGTAGAATAAAAAAAAACGTTTATTATTTTCAGGTATTGCTTCTAATTTACACGCTTACAGCTTAAATAAAGAAGAAAATTGTCTAGAAATTTACTCAGATCGAAGTTTTACGCTAAACAAATTCAATTTTGACCTGAATCCCGTCATCCCATCGTCCGTTCATTGCCGTTGAATGTTGATTCGAAAAGCAAGTTTCGTTTACGCAGAACTTTCACCATTTTCCCGGCTTTCCGTTTCTTCTATTGACATCAAATGAATGAGTGAATTTCACTCAGGATGATTGTTTGGTGAATTCGATTTTTGTTCAATTTTCTGTGTCGTTTTTTCTTTGACCAGTGGAGGGAGGGACGAAAGAGCTACTTGTTTGGAAATCAGCCAAAGGCCAAAGTTTTAAGATAATTATTGCAAAATTGAGAAATTGTTGGATTGAGGAAGAAACACTGGATTGAGAACTAAAGAATGCATTTATGAACTGGAGCGTCCTTAGCAGAACTTCACTCAAGAAGCCAAAATCTACCTAATAATCATTAGTTTTACGCGGTTTGGCATAATTGCAAAATTGGTTCAAACAAGAGCAAACTCGTTTTTGCTCATTCTCAAGAACCCTTTGATTTACAGATCCGGCTTTTCCACCACTGGATGGAGAATGAAAACCCCTCTTCACTAAGTGGAACTTTAGTTCGGCAATAGTGGTTTTCATACAAAAAACCAAATTAAAATATTATACATTTAGATGTAAGATTAGGCCAAAATTTCATGTTTTGTGCCACTTTTTGGCTTATATCTCAGGAAC